CAAATGAGAAATGTATGATGCAGCATTTGACTTTACAGTAAAAAACAGTTGACGCTGTCACCTAAAATAAAGGAACCTCAGAGTAAGTCAAGAGCTACGACACCTGGAAGACAAAGGAACTTAAACTGCTTCCACGTGTAGTGTGCCTTTTGAGGCCATGTAGCTGTTCAGATGTGTGAGCCATAGGATTCTTGTTGCAGCAGCACAAGCGTATCACAGAAGCCTGTAAACACTCCCAAAGCAGTGTAGCCTGGCAAATGGACACAGGCTTGGGAATTAGGAAAGCATAAGTACAAATCTTAGCGTTACCATTCAGTTGCTTTGTGACCCACTTCTCCTTTTGATCTGTTAAAATTTGTCAGCTGGAAGTACTACTTATCTACCTAAGTATGTGCATGTAAAGCTTGTGCTTGAACACATAGCAGCCTTATTGCTTTAAGCGAAGATGCGTGGCCTTTGGGGAAAATAGTCTCAGTAGTATAGGTGAATTTGGTATTATGCACAGTTCTAGCCTGAACCTTAAGTCTGCCATGCTTAGAAACACCTGCAAGTTTGATACTTTTAATAAAAAAAAGCTGCTTGGTAAATACAAATGGTCAGAGTTAAGTATGGACATAAGTGTCTGCAGAATTGAGGCTATAGAATTCTTGCTTTGAGGAGACAGCCCCAACCCAAAGTTCAGTATAATTTTCTTTGCGAAAGCCCAGAATTTGAGATGCTTACATTTCCAGTATCTGCTTAGCCTTATCGACAATACCTAGTTTGGCAGCCCTTCACTGTACTTTACTCCAAGTGAATGTGTTCAGAGAGAGGGTATTATTAATCTTTGTTCCCTTGGAATACTTTCAGTAACAAGATCTGATTATGATGTGGTCTACTTAATCATAGAGTTCCCTCGCTTAAGGCTGTCTCTGCATAAAAGCCAATAGTCCTCTTTAGAAAGCCATTAACTTCTTGTTGGTGCCAGAGCATAGTAGAGGTATGGAATATTCATAGTGTGCTTACCTGCTCTAGTCTTGTTTGTAAACTTGCATTTGTAATTTATATACATAGATGTTAAATAGTTAAAACAAAACAATAGTTAAATACAAAACAGTTCTATATATTATATAGGAATGGAATGCAGGATTTTTTTTGTTTATAGGGAAAACTCTGTGGTTGTTTTAGACATTATTTCCCATTTTCAGTTATTTTGCATTCCCAAGAATGGACTCAGTGGAATATGTACATGGAGATGTACTGAAGTGTTTACAGACTAAGGATATGTCTACACTTGCACCCTCTTTTGAGAGAGGGATGCAAATGAAGACATTTGAAATTGCAAATGAAGTTGGGATTTAAATATCCCACGCTTCGTTTGCATAATCGCGTTATGGGGCTATTTTGAAATACAAAACGCGGTGTAGATGTGGTTATTTTATTTTGGAAGAAGGGTATTCTCCCAAAAATAACCGCATCTACACCACGTTTTGTATTTCGAAATAGCCCCATAACGCAATTATGCAAATGAAGTCCAGGATATTTAAATCCCAACTTCATTTGCAGTTTCGAATGTCTTCATTTGCATCCCTCTCTCAAAAGAGGGTGAACGTGTAGACATATCCTGAGAGAGCAGTATTGTTTTCCCTCTCCCCAGTCCCACACCTTTGCATTTTGTTTCTGTTTTGTTAGGAGTATGTTGCGGGAGCTCTAATATGGTTTATGGAATTTGTATTACTAGTTGTGTTTGCAGAGATGGCAGAAAAAATCTTTTTACATGAAAACAAGATATTTGATCTGGAATCGTCCTAGCAATAGAAATGGAACCTCAAAATACTGTTTGTCTAGAATCACTTTTTAAGATTATATGTTCCGAGGCCAACACAATTTGCTAATAGAATGATCAGACAGATGTGTGAGGGTCTGTGCTGTGCACATTCAACACAGAGCCCAGAACTTGCAGCCCAGACATGTGAAGGTAGCTTTAAGCCACAAGTGTGCCATCCCTATCCTGGATTGCGCCAGAGGCTAGAGAGGTACCCACTGGGCTTGTCTAAGGTCTGAGTAACAGCAATCTCCCACAGATTGCCCTGTTGCTACATTGCTGCCTGCTGCAGCCATGGCCCACCATGTCCTCTGCACTAAAGCTTGTCAGGTGTTCTCAGAAATCAGCCTTAGAGCTGTATCTATGCTTCCAGTGCCAGGGAAATTCCTTCCCCTCCCAGCACCAGGTCTTTCCAATCTTTATGCCACTGACATCCTTTTACCTGGTACAATGGAGCTGTTGTGGGATTGAGGATTTCACCCAGGAAGTTTTAGGAATCTAAGTAACAGAAAAAAAAACAACATATTGTACATGGTAATGATGATAAGAACACCCATGTTTTTCTAGATTATAACTCTTTGCTTGTTAGCAATGATCTGATGGAAAAACAGTCGAGGCTCTAAAAATGTGAGATCCCTGAAACAATCCCTTCCCAAATTCCCCTAAAACAGGTTCCACTGTGAGTTCTTGTCCTCACAAGAGATCATATTTAATGGTAAAAATGGCTTGGGTTTGGTTTTGTTTTTTAATGTTTTGCTTCTGTGGTATTAGAATTGCTTTTGTGTTTGTAATGGGCTAACAAATAGGTCAGTCTACAGTCTGTGGCTCTGCAGCTTTAGAGAAGAGGTAGCAGCAGAATCCAGCATTGTTGAATGTCATGGGGTTTTCTTATTTGCTTTTGGCATTTAAATTTGAATGTACAGAGTAGGGATGTAAAATCCCATTTAATCAGTTAAACAGTTAACTGCTTAAAGGGGAAGGAGAAATGGCCTGGCTGGAGTGCCTCCCCTCCCACCCATGGCAGGTGGCTTTGGCCAGGCTGGACCCTCCATGGGCGGGGCCTGCTTCAGCTGGGCTGGAGTACCCTCCCTCCATCCACAGGGGTGGTGTGTTTCTCTGGCTGGGTCGATAAGCTCAGTGCTTTGGCAGCCACCTCGTTGTACTGTGCCCCCAGCCCTCAATTGCTGGGAGGTTTTCAACCAGCTACCACAGCTAGACAAGTAGATGGTGTGGGCTGGAGATGGGATATGGCCGGGGATAAGTGATTCAGCATATCCCTCAGAGAACTCTCCACCATCAAATCTCCTTTGGGCATAAATCACAACTCAAAGCTGTCCTCCTGCAGAGGAACCCTTGTGGAGGAGGGCAATGCACTACGGCTTTATCCGTCCCTTCTCCTCCTCTCAAGAGCTGAATTCTCTTCCCCTGGTGCAGTAGCCAAGGTGGCAAGGGAAGGTACAATGTGCACACTTCCACTTCCTCTGCTGGTTTGCCACATGACCTCGGGTGACTCATCTCTTTGTGTTTCATAGAAGCATAGGACACTAGAACTGGAAGGGATCTCGAGAGATTGTCGAGTCCAATCCCCTGCCCCCATGGCCGGACCCAGTACTGTCATCCCAGGTAGATGTCTATCTAACCTGCTTTTAAATATCTCCAGAAATGGAGATTCCACAACCTCCCTAGGCAACTTATTCCAGGGTTAAATCACCCTGAAAGTTAGGAAGTTTTTCTAATCTCCAACCTAAACCTTCCTTGTTGCAGTTTAAGCCCATTGCTTCTTGTCCTAGCCTCAGAGGCTATGGAGAACAATTTTTCTCCCTCTTCCTTGTGACACCCTTTTAGATACCTGAAAACCGCTATCATATCCCCCCCTCAGTCTTCTCCTTTCCAAACTAAACAAGCCCAGTTCTTTCAGTCTTCCTTCATAGTTCATGTTTTCTAGACTTTTAATCATTTAGTTGCTCTTCTTTGTACCTTCTCCAGTTTCTCCACATCTTTCTTGAAATGTGGTGCCCAGAACTGGACACAATACTCCAATTGAGGCCTGATCAGCACAGAGTAGAGCAGAAGAATGACTTCTTGTGTTTTGCTCAGAATGCTTCTATTAATGTATCTCAGGATCATGTTTGCTTATTTTACAGCAGTGTCACACTGTTGCCTCATGTTTAACTTGTGGTCCATTATGACCCCTAGGTCTCTTTCTGCTGTACTCCTTCCTAGACAATCACTTTCCATTCTGTATGTGTGAAAATGGTTGTTCCCATTTACCCATTTGTAATTTGCATATAACTGATGAGTTTTTGAAGGAACTAATTAATGGTTACAAAGTGCTTTGGGATCCAGGGATGAAAGATACTGTGTATATAGTAATTTTTCTTCTGGCTGATAAGCTGTTATTAAAGCAAGTTGGACGCTTATTTCCATCCCCTTCTATGGAGCTCTCACACTGGCATCTTTTTTTCATCGCTTTTTGCAGCACTGGGTTTGGATATGACAAACATGAAAAAATTGCTAAGTTTTGTTTAGGTGATGAGAGTTTCTTTACCCAGTGAACTGTCCTACTTCGGAGCTGAGCAAAAATGAGCGCTGTTTTCCTTTAAATAAGAGTCTGGGAAGTGAAAGCAGTAAATCATAGAAAGTTAGTCATCAGATAGTTTGGTTTAATACCAAAGAAGCAGCCTAGAGCCAGGCATTGTTATTGGATTACTGTAAAACTGTTCAGAAGTGCCTTACTATTTCTGTGTCAGATTAAAGCCTATATGTGGATTATTAGAAACAGATGAGCTGATAAGTGTCTCCTCCTTCCCCAGATAAGTCACATTTTTCTGTTTAAAGTGTGGAGAATCCAGCAGCAGTTTGCACAATGTGACTATGCGCTTGAAAGAATGGGCAGCATCTCCACTCTTATGTTTCCATGAAAATGTATATCGCCTGCTTCTAGAACAACTTATGCAGAATGTCCTGTTGTTTTTTATTGGTGTAGTAGTGTCTGTTTTGAGGGAGCTGTTGAAAGTCTGGAATACATCCACAGTTTCTCCTAGAGGGTGTGTTTGAAAACACAAGCTGACTTGCAAAGTTTACATGGGCAGGCAAAGGAAGGATGGCTATGATTCATCATCACTTTTCAAAACAGCACATCTATCCTTGCGTTATAATTTCCATCATGTTTTTACTCTTCCCTTTTCCTCTCCAGGGAGTGAAGCTGATTTTAGCTCTTCAAGCAGCACAGGCAGCATTTCAGCTCCTGAAGTCCATATGTCTGCTGCTGGGAGCAAAAGAGCCTCTTTTTCTCGCAAGTAAGCAAAGCAATTTATCTTATGAGTGTTGCTTAGTGGAAGGACAGCCTTATCCATCACTATCCTACCTTTGAAAACAACTTGGACTACTACAATGTGTTCTCTGATAGCGCTGACATTGATGAGAATCTGTGATCTAGGAGAGAATAAATGTGATGTATTTGGAGAATATTAACTGTGATACAATAGGATCATGTGACCAACAACAGCTCTGTTCATTCCTGACATACTTTTGAGATCCTGTATACCACACAAAAATGTGTAATGTAGAAAGGAGGAGGAAATAACTGGGTGTTTGCTTAGTTAAGTGCAACTATTCCGACCAGTTAACTTTAACCTTCTGGTCTCATCACTTTGTTTCCCTGCTGTGACAAATTGTCAGCTTACCACGCACATTGTAGGGTCATCGTAACATCATTTGTTGAAGGAAAAACGTTTATGCTTGTGTTTTTAATTCTTGTTGCTAAATATCAAGTTCCACCCTTTTGTATCCATTCAAAAATACCTATTTCTTGAATGGTACGCAAGATACAAACCTAGACTCCTTGTGAGACCTAATGAGTTTGGATGGATATGTGTAGAACCCTGGGAAGATAGAAAATGTGTATCTGCATCCAATCTGCAATCTGCAAACATGGTCCAAGGGTAACTGCAGATTTGCAGGGCTCTTAATATATGCACATTGTGCTGTGCCTACACAACCCCTGCTGCTTGAAGTCTTTGAGCTATCAGGGAGGTTTGAAACTGACAAGACAGGACTCCTGCTTTGTGAAATCACAAGATTGAAACTAGCAGTGAGAGTGGAGGGACAGCATGATTTCCATATTTCCAAGTCACTTGAGCCCATCCATGATGACAACATACCCAGTATGCAGAGACTGGTAGCATAATGACCAACTAAAAGAGAATCTGATCTCTATCGTGGTATTGGTATGCAAATAAACAGCAGTTTAGCTCTGGTCATGCTGCATTTAAGGAGAATAGGTAGCTGCTCCAACTGTGGGATTTTGTGTTTGACTCCAAGAGTAATAACTAAAAGATTAAATCCTAAACCTACTTTTTCTTACGAGCAGCATGACCTCGTTATAACTTTAAATATTCCTTGCAAGACACCAGTCTTAATTTGTCCTGAAGTCATGCATAATATTCCTTCAAATTCAGCATTTGGGACAGTCAGGTACTGTATGGAGTCTGGCTTGGAAAGAAATTAATAACCTAAAGTAGTGCTGAGAAGAGAAAATATAAATA